TCTATGATTAACACCCTCTACAATAAAAATGATTAATCAACCTCTCATAATTACAAAAAAATGAACAAAATGAAAAATTATGATTGGTTGAATGCGGTTTGCACGGTTTGTATAAATTGAGTGGTTTGCATTTGATTGCTCCCCTATATATATATATATATATATATATATAAATAGATAGAGAGAGAGAGAGAGAGAGATCCGCGATCAAATGCAAACCACTCATATTTGTACAAATCATGCAAACCACCCTTATCTGTTGATTTATTGTTTAATTTAATGATTTTATTTCATTAAATTTTTTAATATTATGAAATTGTTTCATATAATCAAAGATTTTGGAGACCAGAGAGACTTTACCATAGACAATATAATCAAAGGGCGACGATCTTTTATTGTTTATCGCTGTCATCGTTAAATCCTAGGGGATAACTATTGACAAGCGTTGGAAGCTACCAAGCTGGAATACGGGGGCAGATGAAATTTTATTGGAGGTCGTAAAATGCATAAAGATCATAAAGAAACACCCTACAGGATACTGGGTGTTGTATGCATCGAACCGTGCAATGTTGTAGCTAACATCTGAAATATCCAACCTCATGGTACGTTAGAACCACTTTAGTTTGATTAATACTTTGTAACTAACAGAATCTCTGAAAAAATCACCGATTTCAATAAACTAATATATTTTCAAAACCCTAATTCATTTAATATCATAAAATAATAATATTTTAAATTTACAAATACAGTTACTAAACTTTTTTTTAAAGTATATAATATTCATATACGGTAAATAAAACAAATAAATTCACACACCTTCTTCACATTTGATACCGTTGGACAAATGTCTCTTCAGTAAACTACTGAATTTTGTTGGTTTGTGGTGCTTGACATCCCTTTCTTTTTCTAAATTTGTTGAAAGATACCCAACTCGTCATATAAGCATTGTTGATATTGTACCTTTGATTTTGAAATAAAAACTCTTGTCCTGTCTGAAAATCGTTTTCACTGCATACTGAACAATTTCTATTTTATTCTCTACCTCTATATTACTTTCTAAAACATCTCCAATAAACCCTGTATTTTGCTATCTATGACTTGGGATCACGTGAGACCAACCTGTTTTCGTGAGACCTACGAGACCATTTTTTTACACTTGAAAGTTCATAGCAAAACTTGTTGTGAAGGTAACCTTCACAATATTTTTTTTGAAGTATATAATATTTATATGTGACAAATAGAACAAATAAACTCACATAATTGTCTCATCTTTGGTGAAGTTTGAACCCTTGACCTCCTAGGAGGCCAATGACTTTTTTTACCTTCACAATGTTTTGATGTGAAGTTTCATGTGTAAAAAAAATGGTCTCACGAGTCTCATGAAAACATGTTGGTCTCACGTGAACCCAACCCCGTTTGACTTGTGATCATGTGAGACCAACTTGTTTTTGTGAGAGCCGTAAGTCCATTTTTTTACACTTGAAACTTTACAGTAAAGTGTAAAAAAGTGGTCTCACGTTGGGCTCATGTGAACCCAACCCTATGATATATTGTTTAGATGGAAAGCCAATGTTGGGTACGATTTCGAAAATTTTATCTGACTTATGTCGTCTGTATGATATATAATATCTGCCCATCAAATATTAAATGTTTGTAGTAAAAATATAATTAATTACATTTGATTTTTTTAGCAAAAAATGATATTATTAATTACAAACAAGGAAGAAACAATGAATCAATAAACATTATTAATTAACAAATTGCAATTAATTTTCATTAATATTATCTCCAAAATTTACCATTTATTAAAATATAATATAATCAAAATTCAAGTTAGAGTAAACTACGGATTTGGTCCCTGTGGTTTACGCTTTCTACCGTATGTATTTTTACACCTATTGAGTCTCTCCCTCTAACAAAATCTTTTAATTTAAGTCCAAGGGTATTTTAGTCTTCTTCATCATAATCTTTTTTGTCTTTATCCTAATTAGAAAAATAAAAAATTATTATGTATTAATTAATATTATATAATAATAGATTAGATATTATACAAATCGACGATTTGGTCTTCTTATCTTCATCTTATCTTAACGATATTCTTGATTTGGAATCAAAATCCAGAAACCCATCCGAACTTTAATCATCATCTTCATGTCTAACTCAAAATTCAAACCTATTCTTCATCTCAACTGAAACCCCAAATCCAAACATAGATCTCTCAACTTCGATGACAAAGATGTTTGTGTATATGTATGTAGGGATGGTGATTTGCCCTGACTCGGTGAGGAACCCGATTCACCCAACCCGAACGGGGGCAGGGATTCCCCGCTAAAACGGGTCTTGGGGATCCCCGATGGACTCAAACAGGGAACGGGGAATGTTACTCAAACCGGGGCTGGGGATCCCCGGTAGAATCAAACTAAAGAATACTATTTATGGGGTTTGACCGGGGATTGCTAGAGATTTGACCGGGGATTGCTAGAGATTTGACCGGGGACGAGGTTGGGGGATGCTACTACAAACCGAGGCCGGGATTACAAAACCCGCCCCATCCCCGCCCCGTTGCCATGCCTATATGTATGTCTGTGTACCACAAAGACGAAAAGCTATACCCACCTCCATTGATCTCCTCATCCAAGCTACCTTCCCTTCTGAATTAACCCATGTCTAGATAACCTTATGTTTTTGTATTGAAGAACGAAAAGAGAGAAATTTGGTGACAGATGTCCATCTGGTGTTGGATGAAGAATCGGTAGATCTGATGATTGCAGCTACGAGTAAAAAACTAACGCTCGATCTCCTCTCTTATATTGATCGCAGTTTCTGAAAATTAATTAATCTGTTAGTGCGAGCTTCAAAAATGTTTCACCCTCTTATTGAATTGATAGAGATGAATATAATTTTTATTATTAATAATGTGAAAACAAAATTAAGAATAAAACAACTGAAATACTCCTGAATTTAACTGGGTTAATGGAATCTTTTTATTTCGTTGGAGGGAGGGACTCAATACGTATCATGGATACCATTCTTGTATTTATTTTGATTTTGGGACCACTGTGGATGGAAAGTATAAACCACAGGGACCAAATCTGTAATTTACTCTAATAAACAATTAATCGATTATTTAAAAGACGAAAATGCCCCACGCACGAGACACACAAAACTAACTCAACGGATCTTCAAGTAAACTGTGTTAACTCAAGGAACCAATCTGTTATGTGAAACGTGAAATAAGAACGACTAATATACTTAATAAACTTTAAAGACCAAAACAAACAATCAACAAAAACCATAGGGACCAAAGATGTAATTTACACTATTTGTTTATGGGTCTAAACACATAAACATTCAAGGAAATGTTACATGCATGTTTAATAGGAAAAAACATTCCTTGCCCTTTCAAACGTTACAAAGGCCAAACTACTTCAATGGTCCATCAATTATCATCAACTTCAAGATTTAGTCCTTTAAGATAAATTCAATTACCAAAATGGTCCTTAACTAAAACATTGAAGCATTTTCAAAGGAGATGCAGAGAAAAAAAAATGTTGATTCCGATCCTTTGAGTATTCAACACACACACACACACACACACACACACAMAWATATATATATATATATATATATATATATATATATATATACAGAGTTCACGATTGAGGTTTTCATGGGACAAAAAGTAGAGAGGCAAAAGGAGGAAAAGAGGGTCATGTATAACAGGATGAAAGAGGATTGTTCTGTTCTTATTTTCTTACGTGGACATGACAATAAACGAGTTTAAAAATGAGGTTGGGTTCATCTGCAACTGTGTAGACATCGGTGAGCTTACTTCTAGCAACACTCAAGACCAAGGGCGGATCTAGCCCTTAAGGACTGGAGGGGGAGGGGAGGGGAGGGGAGGGGAAGAGAAGCCCCCCCCAGTCAAAGACCAAAACGTTTGTTGACTAGCTTAAATTTTTTATTTTTACTCTCGTCTTACATGGTTTCCCCCTACTCTCATATGGCCATATGCTTGCCTCCCCCACGTCCCATCCAACGTGCCCCCACCCCCATTAATTTCCTGGATCCGCCACTACTCCAGACAGTATCAACAATACAACTTATTTTTTTTTCACTGTCTTAGAAAATTACGTGAGTTTTATAAGTTTTGTTTATTTAAGAACTTGTGCAGATTTCTTATCTATGCTTGTATGTTCTTGAGAGTTGAAATATTTATTGACTTTGATCTAAAGGTTTTGATTTTACATATTTTATATTTAGATTTGTAACAGTGGCGGACAGGATCCCTCTGATATGTTTTATAGTTTTTCATTGTTTTAGAAAATTACTGAATGAGATCAAGATTTTCTCATGTGAGGGGGACATGCCTCCACTTTACAAAAACCTTTTTAATGGCGTTAAATTGAGAGACCAAATTGTTATAAAAAGTAAAATTTTGGTCCACTAGTAGGGGATGTAAACGATACGAGACAACTCGCTAGCTACTTGAGATCGACTCGGTCAAAACCCGATCAACACTCGACTCGAATAGACTCAGCTCGAACTCGAGCTTGACTAGACATATTAATGAGTCGAGTCAAGCTACCCAATACTCGACTCGAAAAGCTCGTAAGATACTTGATTATTTTATATATAATTAGTTTATATAAAAAATTTGTAAAAATGTAAATAATAAAAATGTCTTATATTTTTGGATATTTGGACAAAGTTATGTATTTTTTTAATTATAAAAACTAAGCAATTATTTTTTTATTAAAATCACAATAAAAAAAACAAAAAAAAAACTATAAAATGTTGATGAAATTGTCCCACATTGGAAGAGGAATGGTAAAGGAAGAGAGAAATATGTTATAAAAGAGAGGGAGGTGAATAAAATTTCTAACTTTGTCTGTTTGATGATGAAGTTTGAAGTGGATCTTTTGTTTTATAAAAATTAAGAGAACACCTTTAAGTTTTAAAATTTTATAAATTTCAATGGGTGAGCTTGGTTCGAGCTTGATTTGAGTTGCAGTTTGAGCTTATTTCGAGCTTCAAATGAGTTTGAGCTCGAGTTTAAAAAATTGCAATCGAGTTGAGTTTAGTTTTTAACTGCTCGTGAGCTTTCGAGTTCGAGCTTGAGAAATGTCTATCGAACTTGACTTGCATCATTTACAACCCCATCCACCAGTGTACTTAGGTCCCATTTAGTATGTAGAATTGGATATGATCTGAAGGGATTTGAAATTCAATTTCATTCTAATCTCATGTTTGGTTTGAAAGATTGTTTGGATTTGAAATCTCAGTATTTCATTGAAGTCCCACAAACATTTAGAAATCATATGGGAGCTGTTGGTATTTCGTGGGATTTTGTAAGGTTTGTGTATAATGATGTTTTAAAATATGTTAAAAACCTTTATTTTCTAATAATGAGTTAATAAAAATTAATTAATTAACCACAAGGGTGGTGTCTGATTGGTTTGAGTTTGACTCCAAAGGTCAAAAGTACCAGGAGGTCTCAGGTTTAAATCCAAAGAGGAATAAAAATCCTCGTGTGGCCAGGGAGGTCCAAATGCGGTTATTTGCAAAGCATGTGCTTGCCCTGGGATTAGTCGGCTCGAATAGCGGATTGGATATCCAGGTTAATAAAAAATAATTAATTAATTATTTTTATAGTTATTTATAATTTATTTTTGTAAATATTTATAAAAAATAAAATTCAATTTTATTCCAAATTCTACAAACCAAATACATCAAATATTTCATATCCACATCCCTCCAATTCCATAAGCGCTCCATCAAATCAAACACCCCCTTAATGTATTTAAGAAACTAATCCAAACTTTTAAGGACTAAAAATGTAATAAGATAATAGTTTATGGACCAATTATGTAATTTTTGAAAAAGGGTAGATTCGTAAATAAGACGGAAAAACAGGCACCGTTTTAAACCGACCTCCATTATTTTTCAAGCTCAGGAGAAAGACGAAGAAGAAAGAAAGAAAAAGGGTCTATCTCTCTCTACTCTCTCTCACACACTAACACACACAGAGTCACACAGTAAATACATCATCACGAAGAAAAGCTTTTCTAGCTCACTCTCTCTATAAATATACATCTTCTCAGCTCTCGGAGCTGCGTTGTGGAATCAAATTTATGTAGACTTTTGGTTTTGAAGCAATTGTTGATCGATGTTCTTCGAAAACCCTAGCTCGAATATCATCACACTGTCATCGATCTAAGTTGATTAGAAGTTAGAACTGTTCGTAATCATGGCTAATAGCAATCCTTCCGACGGCTCTGCTGACGATTTCTTTGAACAAATCTTAGGGTTCCCTGCTTATCCCGCAGGTGCAACCGATCCCAATTTGGCGGGAAACGAAGGCAGTTTGGGTGGAAGTGCTGCTGCTGCGAACTCTATGATATTGCAGCTGAGTTCCGCCGGTGATGGCTCTGGTCATCATCATCTAGCTAGTGGAATAGTTGGCGGTGGTGGTGGTGGTGGAGGTGGCGGAGGGTTTCATTTTCCGTTGGGGTTGAGTTTGGAGCATGGAAAAGGAGGGTTTCTGAAGATGGACGATGCTTCTGGAAGTGGTAAAAGGTTTCGTGACGACGTCGTTGATAGCAGAGTTTCCTCTTCGGTAAATTTCGCTAGGCAAAAGCCATTGTTCTTCCTGTACGCATATAATTTCTCACTTTTTCAATACAAATTCAAAAGGTTTTCAAGTGTTTTTTGAAATGGTTGTTGTCAATTGGCATCAAATTTTTTGAAAATTTTGTTCGATCAGCTGCTTCCCCTACCATTCATATAGAATCATCTGAAAAGTTGTCCTTTCTTTTACCGGAATATATGCATGTGAATCCATCAGGTTTTGTCAGTTTGTGTCATCTTTTTCTTGGGTACCAAATTTTGGCTATTAAATTACAAAACAAAGAAAAGCAAGAAAATGCTATTCATCTTGGCTTTTCAATTTTATAATCAAGATGTTTGACATATAATTTGACTTCGTAGTTAGATTTCAATTGAAAACTTTTCTTCCCTTGAATCAATGCTCATTTTGTATTTTATATGTAAGACTTGCATATGCAGTTTTTATTACAGGGGAAAACTTGGTACCAACTATTTGATGTATTATTTATAATAAGGGAGGTTCTTGGGAAACCCCAAAAAAATGAAAAAAATACGAGGAACAAACTAATAACCGATCATCTGTACGGTAGTTCCTTGTTTCTATGCACGTCTGCATTCCGGAAAAATTACTTACAAATTGCATACCGTACGGATGAATGGTTCCTAAAGTGTTCCTCAATTTTTCATTTTCACCCTATTTATAATAATAACCCTATATTAATGATTGTTACATAATGAATATCATGAACATGACACATTTTCATTATGAATAATGTTCATGATGAATATGTACCATGATATTCATCATGAATAATACATGAAATAGTTGGTTCTCAAAATATTTATGGTTCTCGTTTGAGCATGCCGCGTATAATCTACTTTACATTTCTTTATTGGGAATGAATCAATGAAATATATGTAGATTATTTGTGTATTTTAGTGATCACAAGCTTCCCACTTGGTTTTTTCTCTAGGATGATGCTGCCTGCTAGTTCACATACATGCAATGACAAAATTGTTTGATTGTTTAGGGGTTTCAGGGCCAGCCAATGCCTAACACGGTGCAAACAACACCAAATCCACCTACTGTCCGTCCAACAAGGGTCAGAGCAAGGCGAGGGCAGGCCACAGACCCACACAGCATTGCTGAAAGGGTAAGTCTGATGTGTTCTCTTTTTGTAATATCATGTTGGGGGAAAGGCTGTGAGAATATGCAAAAGCGAAACCCCATTAGATTACTCTCCAAAAGAGTTCGAGTCTAGCTGATGTGGGATTCCAACACGACCCCTCCAACGGGGGCTAGATGGTACAGATTGTCCAAATGTCAAGACCCTAGAGTGGTAGACTTTGGCTTTGATACCATATGATGTGGAACCCCATTGGATTACTCTCCAAAAGAGCTCCTTAAAGAGAGAATGAAAATATTATGGAGAAATGGCCAAATCTAATAGATGTAGGACTCTTAACAAATGAGATAACCCTGCAAATCCTCTCATGTATGCTTTAATCTAAACCTGATTTGAGCCAGCCTCTAAGAACGATCAAAATTAGTTGGAAATTATAAACTAAAATATAATAGGAACTAGGAAGTCCCAACAATTAGTTGTGTTGTGATCTTGGGTTGATTAGTATTTATTAGATAAAATCCTTGATAAAAATTTAAGAATTGCGGTATTTTCATATCATGAACATAAAGTGTGTTCATTGGTAGAACTTATTCGTTTGACTCTTCACTGTATTGCTTTTCCATGAACTCACTCCATACGAAAATAAATGTCCACAATGAAAAGGCACACCGTTTTGGAAATGTGTAATTATCACACTTTTTAATTAACTAAATGACAAGTGTACCCTTAATAATAGAGGGAGTACTAATTTCTTGATCTCATAATTAAGGGTAGAATTGGAAAGTAGACACTTATTTTCTAACAAACTAAAATACTAATGTGACACTTATTTTGAGACAAAGGGAGAGGGAATATTTATTTGATTTCGACTTCTTTTGTTACTGCTTCTTTTAGGTTTTTTTGAATTTAATCTAAGTGCCATCCTTTCAAGCATTGAAAATATGTCATCTGAAACAGCTTCGCCGTGAAAGAATAGCTGAGAGAATCAGAGCATTACAAGAACTGGTTCCTAGTGTCAATAAGGTGAATATTCCCTTGATCCTGTATATATACACACATATAGGGTTGGGTTCCGGTGAGAAGGAGAATTAAGGTCAGAAACATAAGAAGGGATCTCCGCTCTTGGATGCACATTAGGATGAGATGCACCGAGATACACCGGGTCAATCCCCGAATCAAGTACGATTCATGGGTGGGTTTGAGATTAAAGGGTGATCAAGGGTCCAGATCTCTTCTTACGCTTCTCACCTTAACTCTCCTTCTCACACGATCCTTCGCCTATATATATGTATATGTATATATATATATATATATATATTATATATGCTTTCTGTTTCTACTGTTGCAATGTCCAGTCATTCCTTTTTTTAAGGAATATATATTTTGTATTTTTGTGCAGACAGATAGAGCTGCCATGCTTGATGAAATTGTGGACTATGTGAAGTTTCTGAGGCTTCAAGTTAAGGTAAAATGATCTCTGACTAAAACGTTTGATTTTGGCCTATTTTTAGTATCATTGATACTTGTATCCTTTTACTTGTATGGGACCCCATTATATCACCGCACTTTTCTAGCCAAAAATGGTGTTAAGTGTGTTATTTGCCACAAAACCACGAATAATGATCAAAACACCCAGCTATTATACCAATTAATCTAATGGAACAAAAACTAACCACTCAATTGGATTGATTTAGTAGTGGAATAGCTTTTAGTACCATCTACTTATATAATATATGTGCATGTGTGTTTGTATATATAGGATCAGGTTTAGGGGAAAACCACAAGAAAATGAAAAACTAAGGAACACCTTAGTAACCATTTATCTGTACAGTATGCATTTGTGCATACAAGTAGTTTGTAAGTAATTTATCCGATATGCACATGTTCTTAACATGCACACATGCATAGAAACCATAAAACATCTTCAATTACTTGTATGGACATGTGTATAACGTCCATGTAAATGGTTATGAGGGTGTTCCTCAATTTTTCATTTTTTTGAGGAGTTTTCCCTAAACCTCACTATATATATATATATATATATAT